CTGTCTTGTATTTTCTTTAATTTTCTATTAATTATTTTATGGGTTTGACAAGTGGTAACATTCTATCATCCATCAATACTAAAAGAAGTTGTAAAATCATACAGCTTAGAAATGGGTATGGAAATTTTGTTGAAAAGGTCTTCTTTTGAAATTTTAAGGGAATGCTTCATTTACTGGTATTCTGTAGTTTTAGCATAGAAATCTGTACATTATGAACAACACTGCATTTTTATTTCTATGTCTAGACCTTCATTTCTAACACATTACTACTACTATTTTTTTGTATGTTAAGCTTACATATCACTACTTTTTTGTATTCACAATAGTTCTAGTAGTGGCATTTTGGGGGATTTTACTTTTTGGTAAATCATCATACTATTGTAAAAAGAACAGCTCTGGGTTTTCCTTTCTGGTCAGTATGCCCTTGTTTTCCTTTTCTTGCTTTATTACACTGGCTAGACCTTACAGTTCTATGGAGAATACACATAATGGCATCCTTATCTTGTCTGGCTCCTGACCTTAGGGAAAAGCATTCAGTAGTTAGATGTCATCTGTAATAGGTATTGTTTTGTTGATGTTTGTTTTCAAGTTGAGAAACTCTGCTCTAGTACTGGTTTTCTGAATGCTTACCATAAATGGGAGTGAGATTGGTCTTTGCATCCATGACATCTTGTTGTGATTTTTTTTTCTTTAGCTTATTAGTAAGATGGATTACATTGTTTGATTTCAAATACTGAACCAGCATTATATTCCCGGAATATAAGCACCTTGGTCTTTGTGTTTGTCTTTTTGCATATTGCTGCAAAAAGAATTCTATTTGTCCAAATATTATCAAGAATACTGGCATCCAGGGCCTCACCGATGGTGCAGTGGTTGAGCGCTGGGTTGCGAAGCTGCCTGCAGGCTCTGCAGCGCCGGTTCGATCCCTGGCCACCGGGCAAGGGTCCCACATGGCGCGCAGACCTTTCCTGCTGCCCACTGCTCCCCTCAGCAGTGTACTTTTGTCAGTCTGCCTACTCTGCTCTGCTCTCCGCTCTGGCTCTGGCGAATTCTCTCATCCTCCAGCGCTTCTGACTGTATCCAGTGCTTGTATAAGTAAATAAATAAATCCTTAAAAAAAAACAATATTGGCTTCCACAGTCACGAGGGCCATTGGTCTGCCCTTGTCTTCTTATGTACTGAGTTATTATTTGGTTTTGATAGTAGGATATACTGTCATAAAATGAGTTAGGATATCTTTTTTCCTCTTTTATTTTCTGTAAGAGATGCAGAACTGGTGCTAATTACTCTTTAAATGTCTGGCAGAATTCTGTAATGAAACCATCTGGCCTTAGAGATTTCTTTTTCAGTATGCTTTAAATTATGAATTAAAAATTCTTAATAATTGTAGGACTATTCACATTATGCTTCATATCGGGTGAGTTGTGACAATTTGCACTCTTTGAGGAAGCACTCCATTTCCTCCCTGTTGTAAATCCCTTGTGTGTAGAGGTATTGATGGTTTTCTCTTGTTAGTCTTTTGATGTCTGCAAGATATGTACTGATACTTCTTATTTCATTCCTATTATTAGTGATTTGTTTATTAATTTAATTTGTTAATCTTGGTAAATGTCAATTTTATTGCTCTTTCCAAAGATCCTTTTTTCATTGATTTTCTCTATTGTTCTTCTGTTTTTAATTTTCTGTGCATATATATATATATATATATATATGCATACATACACACACACAACACACACACACATCAGTGTCAGCTAGCTTTTGCTTTTCCAAATCTACGTAAGTGGAGAACAACTATCTCCCTTTACCTCCTTATTTTTTAAAAAAAGTTCACTTAAATACCTCCTCTAATATACTGAGAACTACATTAGCTAGTGAAGGAGTTTTTGCTTTAACAATCAAAAGTCATTTAGAAGTAGAAGTAGGAATTCATATTTACCCCATTTTTGTTCTTTTAGTTCTATTTTGTTCTGATGCTTTTTACTCCTTCCTGGTGTTTGAAGATTCCTTCAGTTATCATTTTTCTTTGTGTTAGAAGTTTCTATAGCCAATCTGTTGGGTAGCTGTGCCAGGAACAAATTCTAAGTTTTCCATTTGAGAATATTGTGATTTCCTCCTCATCACTGAAGGATATTTTCACTGAATATAAACTGTGTTAGATTCTTTTCTTTCAGCATTTGACAGATATTGGGCGATTTCCTTCTGTGTTAAATATGGTGAGAAATCTGCAGTCATTACAATAGCTTCTCCCCTATAGGTGATGTGTCACTTGTCTCTAGTTGATGTCAAGATGTTTTCCTTTTCCTTTAGGTCCAGAAGTTCAGGCATACTGTGCTTGGATTTCTCTAGATTTATACCTTAAAGATGCATAAAGCTTCTTTAATGCATGGGTTTAGGGTTTTTGCTAAAAGCCATCTCCTTACTTTTCTCTTTTTAGAATTCTAATGACATCAAAATTAGGTCTTTTGTTATGATCCCACAATCTTACCTATTCATTTTTTTCTAGTGTATTTATTTTTCTGTTGCTCAGATTGGGGTAATTTCTATTGTTCTACCTTCAAGCTCACTGATCCTTTCCTTTTTCGCATCCAATCTGTCCATCAATGAAACACATCTATTGAGGTATTTTTTTTTAAGCAATTGCTTTTTTTCATTCTAAAATTACCACCTAGGTTTCCCTTTTATCTTCTATTTCTTTGCTGATACTTTGTATTTTTTTGTTTCAAGTGTGTTCTGCGTTTCTTTACAGAATAATTATGACAGATGCTTTTAAACCCTAATGTCTGTATCATCTTGATACTAACCTAATACTCTCATCTTTTTTTTTATTCCATTAGAGGTCATACTAATTCTTGTCATAAATGATTTTATCAGAATCTGGGCATTTTGTTGTTGTAACAGTCTGAAAGTAACTTTGCTATACTATTTTTGACGGATTCAGATGAGTGTTGTTTTAACAGTCTGAATATTGAAATAATTGTTTTAATAGGCCTCCTCTGGATATCTGCTGAGAAGTGAAGGAGGGATACTGCCAGGTGGGGACAGAATCCATGTTGTTTACTCTACCACCAACACCCTGGGGGTCTTCTTGTTACTACTGGGAGGTCATGGGCTCCCCATTCCTCACTAGGCCTCTGAGAATACCACCTTAGCTGGAGGAAAGAGCCTCTGCTTCCAGATCTCTTCAACAATGCCTAGATACACTGATTACATCACAGGCCAAAGAGGTCTCAAAGAGGTTCAAGCATCTATCACTCTACTCCCAATTAGGTTCACCCTATGAGAAGTAGGGGAGAGACCCAGAGAGCTGTATGTTGGTGCAGTCTACATTGATTCATAAGACCAGAGGATGTCCATTTCTTGCCAAATCTCATTGGTAACTTGAAATTGACAGAATGGGATTTTGGTTTTATATCAGATAACCCAAGTTAAGAGACAAATCTGCTATATTTTAATTCCTGTGGATTATATGAATTAAATGTAAATATGACTGGGGAGGTAGAACTCAAGATCATTTTATACAAATATTACTTGACCTTAGATCTTCAAGAAGGAAAATTATTTAAGAACAAATTTTCATATTATAATAATAACCAATCTGAATGACCATCTGGCTAACATTAATGCTCAAAAAAATCTCTCTTGGTGCACTTAACTTTTTTTTGAATAACTATTTACTGGGCATTAATTACATGACTGAAATGTTTATGTGAAGAAAGAGAAGACAAAGAAACAAATTAATTGCATGAAGGCTTTAAAGAAAATAACATGGACTCATATATGACTAAGTGGTCAGTGACAGTTATCTCAAAAGGTATCTCAGTCTTTAAATTGAGTTTAATATCAAGCAAAAGAAAACCATGCTGGAAATTCAGGGGGAATACGTAATGATGAGATATGTAAAGACACAATCAGATTTTACTAATCAAAACACATACAATTGCAGTGTGACTTTTCAAGAAAATAGCTCCTTAATAGTATAAAATAAAAACAGCGGGAATTGTCCTTGTTAATTATTTTTGTAGACTTCAGCTTTCCAATGAAGGATATAATGTTCTTTTCTTTACATACTATGGTAGCTATGAAGTACAGCAAATCCATATTTTGTGTATTTGACCATGTTTACCTATATTTGACTTTTCTTTGTTAAAGTGGTTTTTAAAACACACTGGAAGTTTTGTAAGTATATTCTACTTTGAACTTAGTATCTTCACATTGTAACTTAAAAATTATTTTTGCTTTAACCACATTGCGACTTTCCTAACAGCTGTTTACAACTGTTTACAAGAGAATATCTAACTACTAAAAATTAATCATTGAATTGATTCTGCAAAGTATATTTGCCCTTTATCTATTTTCAAATATTACTATTATCAGGACAGGTATAAAGCTCCCATCAAAGACACTGCATTTAATATGAACCTGCTTTCTCTGATATAGAACAGGAGCGACCAAGGTTAGGAGACCAAGGTTAGCTAGTCTAACTAATCATGGAGGTCAGACATTGAATTTGTGATGTTGGTAATAAAAATGCATAGAATTATGAAAATCCATTGTACTGTTAAGATGAAGTTGAAATAAAAAAATTAGAAATAGGGATAACACAATTTCCATTTGGATCTAAGTGCAAGTAAACTTTGCTATACTATCTTTGATGCATTTTTTTTTTTTTGGAAAGTCCTTGTTTGCTATCACTTCTTAATATTAATCTACCCATAACTCCATGGCATATACTCAATGTAGTTATCAGTTTACTTGGAAGCCTGCCCCTCCCCATTTTTTTTGACAATTGTAAAATTAAAAGGAGCCTCTCTTATATGCAAACAGCCACCTAAGTTGACTTAAATTTCATGTTCTTATTAAATCTTGCACAGGAACACGCTTAAAGTGTCCATCTCTTTGAAATGCAAACACACAGATCTTCCTATTCAATACAGCCTTTAATTTCACATTGTTTTCTGAAAGGAAAACAATTCTTTATCTTCAATATGAGAACTCACCTGATCACAAAAGAAACTGTTTCTAGTGCCAACTTTATCACAATCACAGGATTTGCAAACATCCATGGCTGAAGGATCTGCACCAACTTGTTGGAAAAAGTATTTCTCACACAGCTCAAATTTCCATCCTGCATGAGGAAAAGGTTATGCATTATGACTCCCAATTCATTAAAATCAGCTGCATAATTCAAAATTAAAGACTGTATTCCTTTGAGGGAATTCTATAATTTTCGGGACGTCCATTTTAATGCACCTTTCATCTCTACCTGCCAATTTAGTGATCCAGAGCATATGAAACAATGAACCTGCTACAAACTGTGCTTTACTTCATTAAACTCCCATCTGTTACATAACACTGCACTTCTAAAAAGCTGCACTTTGCAGAGACCCATACATTTTGAAAGAGTGTATTTCTATACTTAAAAGTTGCCATTATTTCTAAGGACCAGGTACTTAACAAAAATCAAATGTGAGAAATTCCAGATGTGTGGTAGAAACAGTTATACAGTTAGAAGCAAGAAGGTATGTAATCTTAAGAATATTTTCCTAGAACCGCATGTTATAAAATAGGAGACTGCTCTTAGTAACTGCTATCATTCTATAGTAAACAAGATTAAAAGTAAATGCTTCTGTGAGTGTTTATGGCCATTATTTTTCATTTCAAATATCAAATAGAAATTCATTATAGTAGATATACCAAATGAATTTCATGTTAAATATTAGCTTGACATAATAAAAGTCATAGGTAATTTTATAGGTTATAATGTTTTTTTATTCCACAATATTGCCTTTTCATATTATATATATAAGAAAAAATTCTAAACTGAACGAAGTTTCTAAAGTTAATGTGAGTAGCAAATAAGATCTCTGCAATGAAAATTAAAGCTATCAATCTGCCCTTTGGATATTATGTACTCCGCTCAAATATTGTTGACATTGGCCCAGTATTGGAAGACTATGGAAATAACTTAATCAAGTAAAAACTCACATTCTGATGGATATTGGCTATGGGCTAATTAAAAATTAAATAGATTATAATATTTCTAGAATATTTTCATTTACATATGCTGATGACTCCCAAATTTATATCTCCAATCTAGAAATCTCTCCTTATTTATAATTCAATGAATATTTATTGCATGATTACCATGTTGCCAATGCTGCGCTGAGCGCTAAGGAATACAGTAGTGAGAAAAGCCCACATCCTTCCTCTCACAAACCTTTCTAATGTCTAGAAGGTTGGGTGAATCATCATTAAATAACTACAAGTAACTGATAAACTAAGGTGCCACTAAGTAGACACATAATGCTGGTCTTTTCTGAGGCATGAAAGACTTCCTAAGAAAGGTATTTTAGAATTGTATTTCCAACTGCCTACAAGAGAATTTCCGGTAAGTCTCTTGGAAACACAGAGTGATCACATCCAAAACAGAATTTGTCATCTTCCCCCATCTCCATAACTGGCACTGAAGTTGAGCCTGTTGCTTACATTGGAATATAAGTGTGAATTTTTACTCTTCTTCCTCCCGTTACTTATGACGCATGCCTTGCTCAGAGAACCTGGGCACTTTCCATCCCCAACATGTCCTGGATCCACTTTTCTTTATCCACATTTTCTTAAAAGCACAGCTGCATTAGTTCTCATCTGGACTATTGTAGTGCCCTTCTACCAAGTTATTTCACATTGTTTCAACCCTCTCCAGTGCATTCTCTACCTTATAGCAGATGGCTCTTTTGGAAACACAAAGCTTAGTATGTCACATTCCTGTATTAAACCCTTAAGCGTCATCTCATTAACACTAGGATAAAAATCAGACTTTTAATCATGATTTAAAGTCTTCCAATTTGGCCTCTGCTTTCCGTCTCAACACCTTTTCTTATGATCTGTCATTGCTCCCAGATTTGTTCTCAACAAGGCCCAGTTTCTCTTCCCAGTAGACAACTATACAACTGTTTCTCTTACTGCAAACCTTTATTTACCTCCATCACTCTTAATTCCTCACCTAGTTAATTCCTACTGTACTTGTCCTATATTAACACTATTCAGACAACTCTGCAATTGTTCCTTTAACAATATGCTATTCCCACTATATAATTATCCATACAAAGACAGGGAAAATCATCATCTTGTTCATCTTTATGTTCCCAGCATCTAGCCAAGTTCTTGTGACATTTTAGGTCATCAATAATTATCTAATAAATTCATTTCTGCTTCAAAGTAGCACAATTTCACAGTCAGGACATGGGCCATCGTATTTCATAAACTCAGATATTACCTACTTCTGTTTTTAACATACCAGCCCTTGAAAATTTAAATTTTCAATGACTATTCAAAATTCTGGATAGACCCAGAATAAGACTTTGATAATCATCTTCTGCATTGAAATGGCAGTTAGAAAAAAATATTCTCAGCACATGAGTCCATTCTGAATCTGAATGAATGCAAACATCTCCATGTGAGAACTGACATACTGAAAGGTCAAGGTCACACACACACAGGAAAACTGATTTTAAGAACATATAAACTCAAGCTAGATTCCTGGCTATCTATCTACCTGTGTTCACAGTTCAATCAAAGGCTCTAAACTTCAATAAAAAACCCTTTCCTAAAAAGATATAGTTTGAGATCAGAGCATGGCCCTGATGAAGGAGATTTGGTTTACAAACCTAAGAGGATAGAGCACTTCCTTTAACTTATTGATTGACTGATGTCATACCACATTTGGACATTATATAAGCTTCAGGTGTTCATCAGAATCTCAGCCACATAATTTAAAGTAATATGCATTGGAGAGAGAAGCACATGGGCCTGGAAGGCCTTTGTTATTCATTTGCGCGACTTGCTAGTGACCTGTCATACTGTGCTCACAGTCGTCACAGACACTGCTGCCCGCTCCGTGGTGCTCAGCGGAAAAAGGGTCCAGGTAGATATCATCATGGCAGCGTCTGGTGTGGCTATGGCATTGACAAGGTTTACAGCTGAAAGTGTGGACTTGATCACCCGGGCCAAAAGTTTTGTCTCGACAAAGAGGCAAACAGCGATCACACTAGGGAAATAAAGTAAAACAGTAAAATGAAATCATTATCAGCACAACACAGTGCTATAAAACTGATTTTTTCCTTTTAATTTACATATGAGGTACATTCATCAGAGGCAAAGTAATATCAAAGAGATAAAAATAGCAACCATTGTATTTTGAAAAATATTTTATAAATCAGAAATCAACATTTACACATGCTATAGCACTGTGGAATTGCAAAGATGACCCTGTGTGCTGAAATCATGCAAAGTAATCTTAATAACCCATATGAAAAGTTATTATGTAGTGACTTTTAAAATTTTTTTGCCCAAATGTGAACAACTTGATTTTCAATTTCTAGGAAAGAGCTTGCAAGCTGCCACCCCATCCTAACATAAAGGAAAAGCTGAGCAAGTTAAAAAATCAACAGGTCTTCTAGGATCCCTGAGTAGGGCACAGCTCAATGAACTGTCCCCAAATTGTTAAAGAGATAGACAAGAGCAGAGTCTCAATTCTAGGGGCAGAATCACCAGTAGGAGCCTCTATAGGATGAGGGCTGAGGCAGAAAAGCCTCAACTGCAGTTGATGAATCTCTGCAGCTAGCGGCCCAGCTACAGGTTTCCACCACAACCTGAAAAAGTAGAATTTTCCTTTTTGGCATGACTTGATAGCTTACTATTTTGGGGTCTGGAAATGCTTTTTTTCTTTTCACATAAACTTATAATCCTCCCCCCCACACACACATCCAAACAAACAAACAAAAAAAGACATACCAAATAGGAACATTTCACTTTGGGATAGTGGGAAAACTTATAGGGGAGACTCCTAACTTCTTTTTGGGAGATTTACTTCTAGGACCTTGATTCTCAGGGAAAAAGACCCCACTGCTTCCAGAAGGAGAATTGAACCATTCTGAAATTCATCAGAGCAATGTTCTTCTTAGCAACATCTGCCCTCTGGAGAAATTAGGTAACCAGAACCTGATCTACTGAGCATTACCTGAGCCCAGCTAAACTGAGGAAGGAAAATCTCCAACTTGAGCCCATTTTAACCACCCTGCCCCACTTAGGGGAGACTGAGAAACACTTGAGCCAGAAGTTATTGGTCCAGAGGTAAAGGCAAAAATTGAGATCTGATCACAAACTATAAAAGGCTTCTCCTTACCCCACATTGCATTAATTAAGGTCTATCTATAGTAGCTTACTAGTACATAATATCTGGCTATTTATATATCTGGAAAAATGATAAGACACCAAAGGGAAAACATACACACACACATACATACACATACACAAATTAACAAGGGCGAACAAGCTTCAGAATATCCAGAATGAAAGGGAGGCTGGAATTATCAGACAAGCAAGTTTACTACAACCATTACTAACATTCTAAGGGCTGTAATGGATAAAGCAGACATCACACAAGAACAGATGGGCAACATGAGCAGAGAGAGATGAAAATCCTAAGAATGAACAAAAAAGAGGCAATAGAGATTAAAAACACTGTAACAGAAATGAAGTATGCTCCTGATGAGATAATTAGAAGGTTGGACATGGCTGAGCAAAAAAAAAATTGAGCTAGATTATCTATCAATACAACCCTCTAAAACTGAAAACTGAAAGTCATTTCATAAAAGAAAAATACATAGTAATCATTAGAAAATATTGCCATTTATAGGTCTTTCACACACAACAAAAGTGTTTGAGGAAAATTGATATCTTTATGTTATCCTGTACCAGCAATAACCATTTGTAAATCACTTTTATAGAATTAAAAGTTAAAGATGAGGCATAGGTTTGAAGTCAGATTTCTTAGTTCAATTATTGATACTACCACTGATTGTGAAAAGACAGCTGGAATATAAATGAAATACATTCTATGTGCTGAGCACTGTATTTAGGATTAAAATGGATTAATTCATGGAAACTGCTATGATTTCTGTTCCTTGATTTGCTAGCCTGTGCTTTTGCATAATGAGTTTTACCTTATTAAGTCATATTTTTCTTTTCTATACTATGGAGGTAATAATACCTGCCCTCTAGGGTTGTTGTAAAGAGTAAGTACTTAGGGTGCCCACCACACAGTAAACCTGCATAAACATTTTTTTCTACTTTATTATTAGATTAGCAACTGAGGATTAACAAGGCTAAGTAATAAGAACAGTATCATTGGGCAGTAAATCCTTGAGGTCACCTTGTCTCTCTGAGTCTCAGTTTCTGCATCTAGAAAAGGAAGATAACTTAACTCAATATCTTTATTATTCTGAATAATCTGAGGATAAATGGTAATATTTAAGTTCTATCCAGCATAAGTTCTGGCATATATTAAGCATTCAAAATCTGGAAGTTACAAGATGGAGAAGAAAAAGGAAGAGAGGGTCAAAAATCAAACAGGAACATTGATGTTAAGTTCAAGTGAGGACCGGCAATATGTATGACTGCAATATAGATACTCTGACCATTAGTGGGCAATTCTGTGATCACCAATGTATTGGTCAATGACCCAAATTAGAGCAATCTATGGCCAAAATTTGCTTCTAATGTTATAATCTGTAACTCCAACTACAGATGATGCCTTATCTACTTCTTATTTTTCAGGGTCCTTCAATACAATTAGGTTGTAGCTATAACTCCTTCTGGTAGCCCTAAGTGTGAAGAGATACAATCTAATAGGGTAAATACAAGAATAGATGGAAGACTCACTTTCCTCCCAACTTTAGAGGAGAGAAATAAGCTCATTAAATTATCATTCCTAGGTCTATTAGTCCTGCAATTAATTTCATTGCAATTAAACAAAAACCCATCCATTGGAAAACTTTGGGCAAATGCAAAATGCTACAAAACAATGCCTAAAACCTACTTTGAACTTTATTTCAAAGTATTCTTACTGATGATCTTGCTGACCTGATGATGCTGTTTTTATTACTCAAGTGGTTTTCTTGAATCAAAGCTGGTGGAAGTGATGATATGGAAGTGTGGTCCTGTCACACAAATTACAGATGCAGTTTGTCTTCTACAAAGCAACGGCTGTTTGAGTTTGGGATGCTGCCTACATTAGTTAATGGAGTAAATCCAGCAAGAGCATCCCTTTGCTGTTTCTATGAAGACAACATTTTGCTTTGGACTCTGATCTTAAAAATCCTGTTGTTAACCTAAAAGCCATTATCATAGATATTACTGTAAATAACACTGGATTAAATAATGTGTTGATGATGCAAAGACACAATCCTAGCTTCTTTCATGTTTAAAATCAAAGAGAAATTTGCCTTTGACCCAGTGGAGTAGTTTGGGTCCTACCAAGAAGTTATTAAAACTGTCTAACCTTCCTTATGTGAACAATAAAAAATCTATGTAAATATTGGTGACATTTTGTCTCACCTGAAACAATCAGTTACTATTTTTCAACCTAAATGGATTTTTTTAAATTATAATACTAGAGTTTATAGGAATACTCAGAGGAGACACTGGTTCTAGGGGGACAGTTAATGTGAACCTGTCAGGATACAGTGTATATTTCAATGGATGCAACAATCCACTGGGAATTCAGGAAAATACATTCTTAAAACTACTTGAAAAAGATCTGTTATAATTTGATTTTTACAACAGTGAAAATAAGGATATAAGTTTAATGACCAAAACTAAAGAAACAGTTTGGAAATGTCATATCTTCAAATTGTATAAATATATACATAGAAAAAGATCCATGATATATTTAGAATTTAAAAAGCAACTTAAAATAGGTAGAGTAAAATCCTAGTTCTAGTTAAAGGTAGATTCATCCACATACATGGACATAGAAATATAATTTTAAGTAGACAGAAATGGATAATGGATTTACAACAATAAAAGATCTGAAAGGACATAAACAGAGTATTTGTTGAGGTTATCTATGGGTGGCTGGGTTTCAGATGACTTTTACTTTTTATAACTTTATCTTTTTCCACCATGTGCATTTATTACTAATGTATTAAAAAATTGAGGGCAAACAAATGTAACCGCATGAGCAGTTACAAGAAAATTATACATCATTTGCATGTAACGTTTCACTAAGAAAAGCTAAGAAAATTAAAATGTTCCAGTTTTAAATTACACACAGATCAGTAGATACTATAGAGAAAATGATTTTCTTTTGAGTACAATATAGAGTTTATGAATTCTCAGTAACTAGGATATGATTTTTAAGAAATATAAAATTTCCAAAACAATGAGATTAATACACTGAAGTAAGGATTTGAGAGATCTGACGGTCTAAATATCTGTTTAAAATCGGATTTAAAACATGTAAGCGAGTGACAAACTAGCAGGCACTTGTCCTTTGATCTTAGGGATGGTTCTGTGTTATCATTTTGTGTTGTTTACAAAGACAGATAAAAGAGATGGAATACCATGGCAGTACTCTTTGATTATAAAATTCCAGGAAACTTGTTTTGGGTCTCATGACTGTGTTTCTTTAAAACTTCTTTCAGATGAAACAAGGAAAATCATGTCAAAATGGAAAAAATATTTGAAGTACATTATGAGTGAATTTTGGAATTCTCATATTTTTTCTATCTTTCTTATCAAGGACTTTGAAAGTTTCATTAAAATCTAGAAATATTTGTGTATCTGTATCTTCTGCAGCTCCTGAACCAGAGGGTTTTCTACCTAATGCTTTTCCAATCTCCAGTTGATCATTTGTCACTTTCAATTATGTTTCAATATCTTCTATAACAACTGGATTCTCCCTGATAAGTCCCCGGATGCCCAAATTCTAAGATTAGACAATGGCTATTTCAGGGATAAGGACTTTCATCACTGATTCACTTTAACTGTTTTCATTTTGATAGCTTCTTAAAGGTTAGGTTGCGGCCAAATGCTTTGACATATTCAGGTAGAAAAATCATAGAATAATTGTTGAATCTAGAAGACAATGATGAAATTTACTTTTTTATATTATAATAATACAAACAACATTTCTCTCTTCTGGATCATTAAACTGGAATACAGTGTTCTTCTGTTACTATTACAGGTGAGCAAAAACAATATTTC